AATCTGCCCCTCTAAAAGCTCCTCACATGCCACACACATTAAGTACTCTCAGGGTGGGAGGAGGCCTCCTCTGGGAGGTGGCAGATGAGGGAAGGGCAGGGGCAGAGAGGGCAAAGGAAGTGAGTGCACCCATGCCCCCTCAGGGCTAGAAATCTGAAGCTCCTTCCCTACTACTCTCCACGCTGGCTCACGGGAGATGGTACGTGTGTACATACGAGCCATTGATGTGTGAGCACACATGCACATAGCAGTGGCCTGTGTGTAAAATGAGTTCCTGTACGTGCAGCTGGGGATCTTCCTGCACGTCTACGGGCACGTGGATTGCATCTCATGTGATGAGTACTCACGCACAACCCACATACGTGTCTGTTCCTGTTGTATGTATGTGTGTCCATATTGACATGTACATGTGAGTGTTGTCAATGTGTGTGTCTTTCCCTCACTGTGGCTGCACAGATGTGTGTGCATGTATGAGGATGCATGTGCACCTGTGGGATACACATGAAAGGCCATGACTGCCGGTGTGTGGGTGCACGTGAGTGACATGAACACACACACCCACGAGGGAGGGTGTCTGAGTATGTGTGAGAGCACACGCATGGCATACACATAAGTGCAGATTGCGGCGTGCATTGGGGCGTGCACCCGAGCATGTGAATCCAGGGGTGCTTGAGTACACGTGACCTAACTATGTATGGAAATACTGCCCTGTGGCTCTCAGCAGACTTGAATACTCACAAGCACACATTTGCATAGGTGAGTGGGGGACGCCCCGAGAGGCCACCTCAGGGTCTGTGAGACAGGACATATCCTCCAGCCCCCATCTGACCCTGGCCTGGACCTCGTCCTCTACTCACCCTGAGGAACAACACCACTGTATAAACTCTGAACATCTGGTTTTATTTACATGTAGATTAATTATTTTACTAATTAGTAAGTCATTACAACTGTTATTTCTTTTAAAAACAAACATGTCTATATCGTAGACTCAAAATTCAGATGGCATTTGAATAAAAAGCATGGAAGTGGAGGATTTCCCACCCCCAGCCTCCAGGGCTTCCAGGAGAAGCGTGCTGGAGAAGCGTGCTGGATAAGCTCTTGCAGGGGTCAGGCAGGGAAAAGGAGGGAGGAGCCAGGGCAGAAACCCCCGCCTCAGTTTCCTGGGCTGCCCAGCCCCCAGGTCCATCCTCACCTCCCGTGGCCCAGGGCAGGGTGGGAGAGGGATGTATCAGGCAAGCCTGGCTGGGAATCAGGAGACTGCAGGCCAGCCCTGCCCAGGTAGCAAGCAAGCCAGGCTTGGGCGCTGCCTCATCTGTAGCATGTGGGGTTTCTGTTGCCTGGGGCTTAAACACAAGAGCTGCCATCTGCCCATCTTCCTCTGCTCACCTCCCTCAGTCCCCAGCCACCCCGTTTCTGCCCACCCCAGCCCTGCCTTCACTGCCTCCTTGCCCCTCACAAACATCTACTCACCTGTCAAAGCCCACGCCTGTGTAACCAGCTGGCCACATACTCATCTAACTTCCCAATTGGACTGTGAACTCCGAGGGCAAGGACAGGCTCAGGGCACTCCTGGGCCTCCACAGCCCACTCCAGCCTGGCATGCCTTAAATAGCGGTCACTATTTGATTTTAATGAAAGATAAAGAAAGAAAGGAAGGGAGGGTGAGGGCTCTGTGGACAGCAATATTTGCCACAAACAGCAGGTTGTTCGGTGCCCACAGACCAGGTGAGTCAGGCTGGCCCTTGTCCCGGAAGAACGCAGAGAGTGTCATTTATCAACCTCCTCCGTGCTAGCAGCACCCAGGCCTTATCGCTTTTGATCCTCACCCAGCACCCGCAGGAAAGCAGTATTGCACTGCCATTTTCTAGAAGCTGACCCTCAGAGAAGATGAGTCAGCAGCTGCCTGAGATTCAAGCTCTCCTTCTCCAGGTTCTCTCCAGCGCTGGCTCCCCCTCTCCTTTGTGGAGTCTCACTCACATGCCCTTGGCACTAAGCAGGTATCTGTGATTTTGCCCCAGGGGCTGCTGACAAGCTCTCAGAGGTCAGAATCTGTGGACTCAGGAGCAGCCCTTGGTGATGGATAAGTGATCTGGGTTGGTGGATAAATGCCCCAGCTTCCTCCCTCCCCAGGAGAGACAGCTCTGAACCTTGCTCTGCAGTAACTCCTGTCTTCCAGAGGTCCCAAGTGGGCAGGGCTCCGGTTGCCTGCCAGCTGCTCATGAACTTGCCTGTACTGGCTTCCTTCCCTGTCTCACTTCCCACATCCCTCATGGCTTCCTGGAATCACCTTGCAAATGAACTCCTTGCCCTCAATTCCAGGTTCTGGTCTATTTCCAGGGACCTCCAATCCAAGACAGAGGAGCAGCAGGTGCAGAGACTGTGTGTGCCTGAGCTGCCAAGAACACCTTGGTCCAAAAGGGCCCCTGTCTCTCAGAGAGGACATGGGACTTGGTTAGGATCTAAAGCAGCTCAGTGGAGGTCTGGGAAATCCTGAAGAGTGCTGGCCGGCTCGAGGCCAGCCCTGCTGCAGCCCCGGGCTGTGCATAGTGTCAGGTTGGGGTGTGGAGCTGCAAGGGAGAGAGGGAGGGAGAGAGGGAGGGAGAGAGGGAGGGAGAGAGGGATGGGCATGAGCTGTGGGCATGAGCAATGGGCATAAGCCAGGCAGCCAATGGGAGGTGGGGCCTATCTCAGGCTCGAGACCGCACCTATGTCTCCCTCCCTTCTCCAGAAGTGCGCCCCAGGCACCTATGCCCTTTATGTCCAGGGCAGATCCCCACCTGAAAATTCCTGGGCTTCAGCAGGCCCTCTCTGGCTCAGCCCCCTTTGGCCTGGGTCTTTCCAGGCAGAGCAGGGACGCTGCCTGGGGTAAGACCTTGGATGTGAGTATGAGCAACTCAGTGCCCTTCTCTGGGTGCAGGGCCTGGGATGGGGTGAGAAAGCGAATGAAGTGATCTCAGCACCCCTTCAAGAGCTCACTTTCCTCAGTTCTCCCAGAGTCATTTGCGCATATTAGATCTTCCCCAACATTATCACCATGGCACCCTGAACACACCTGATCTCATCCATTCTTGGAAGCTAAGCAGGGTTCAGCCTGGCTAGTACTTGGACGAGAGATCTTTCCCCTCATCCCTACATGCTTTTGGAATAGGGCATTAATTCACCCAGAGGAATGAAGCTTTCATGGTGGACACTCGAGCACTGGGAAAGACACAGCTTGACTTTGACAGTTGACCTTCCTTCAACCCCTTAAATCAACCATGTCAGCTCCAAGGCAGCCTCAGTCTCAGGAAGTTAGAAGATCACAGTCTTTGGACCACAGCCAGGTGGACTTGGGTTCAAATTCTGTGTAACTCAGAGAAGCGCCCTAACCTCTCTGAGCTTCAGTTTCCTTGGTGGTGAAATGGGCAGCCAGTGCCCTCCTGGCCTCAAGTAAACATCTACAATCTCTTTTAATCCTCAGTCAGGCGAGGAGGCAACTCTGATTCCCAGTTGACAGAAGAAAGCCCAGAGAAGAGCAGGCAGGCACTGAGGAAGCCAGGCTGTGCTTGGGTAGGTACACAGTTCCCAGGCCCATTAAGCACCCACCCAGGAAACCCTGGGCCTCTCAGCCCCAGCCACCACCCAGCCTGGGTCATGACCTGTCCATTCCAGCCTTTCCCCTGCCTGGCCTGGCCCTGACCCAAGGCTCACCCACTGCCTTTCTTCCTGCACCTGGCCCATGGGGCAGCTGGGGCTAGACCTGCCGTTATCAGCCCTGCTCTGGACACCTTTGGCCTCAGGTATGCCAGGAGCTGGGCCAGGAGGTTAAAGAGATTACAAGCTGATCCTCCTCTCTCAAGAAGGTCCTGGAGCCTCACAGCACCTGGAGTAAGCAGGCATGCCCCAGCCAGAGGGGGAAACTGAGGTTCTCTGACTTCGACCTGGAAAGGGAATCAGAGACCTCCTTGATTTCCCTGTGTGGAGATCAGGAAAGCAAAAAGGGTGGGGATGGGAAGGTGGGGAGGTGAAAAATGAAATCAAAGCCAACAAAGGACCAGCTATTTCACTTCCAGGTGTATACTGAAATGCCTAGGCCTGTTCACCAACACAGTGTGCACTAGAATGTTCATAGTAGCACGATTCATGGTACCCCAAATGGAAACGACGGAAAAGCCCAGCAATAGTAGAATGACTACATAAATTAAGCTACAACTGCATGAAACCATAGATGATCTCTCGAATAAGAAGCACAAAACAAAGTAGCACATATCATACTTTTCCCTTTCTATACAGTTTCAATATAGGCAAAACTAATCTACGGTGTTAGAAGTTAGGATGGTTAGGTCCCTGGGGAGTCAGTGGCTGAAAGGAGGCCAGGAGGGACTTCTGGGGTAGTGGCTATATTCTGTTTCTCGTCCAAGATGCAAGCTACGTGGGTGTTTTCAGCCTGTGAAATTTCACTGGGCTGTACGTAAATGTTTTGTATGCCCTTTTGTAGGAATCTTACACTTTTGGACCTCATATAAATTGAGTCTTCTGGTGTACACGTGTTTGCATCTGGCTTCTTTTGCGTAACACTGTATTTTTGAGATTCATCTATGTCCTTGCATGTAACAGAAGTTTCTCCTTTTTCATTGTTGTCTAGTGTTTCATTGTGTGGCTACACCACAATTTGTCGATTTATTCTGCTGATGGAAGTTGGGCTGCTTCCAATTCTGAGCTTCCCCAAAGAGTGCTACTTTGAATATGTTTGCACCTATCTTTTGGTGAGCATCTGTATGTGTTTCTGCTGAGGTGTGCCTATTAGCAAAGTTGCTAGGTCATAGAGTTTACATATCTTCAGCTTTATTTGATACTGACAAACAGTTTTCCAAAGTAGTTTGCCAACTCACACCTCCATCAGCTGTATATGACAGCTTCCCATCCTCACCAGCACCCGATGTGGTCAGATTTCCTTCTGGTTATCCTAGTCCATGTGAAATGGCATCACATTGTGGTTTTCATTTACATTTCCCTGGGGCCTAATGAAGCAGAGCGTCTGTCTTAGTCCAGGTTCCCTAGGAGCAAACCCTGAGACAAGGGGAGAACAAGTAGTTTAATCGGCAGGTGTATTAATCTGCTAGGTCTGCCATAACAAAATGCCATGCACTGGAGGGCTTACACAACCGAACTTTATTGTCTCCCAGTTCTGGAGGCTGGAAAGTCCAAGACCAAGGTGCAACGGGATTCATTGTCTGCTGAGGCTCCTCTTCTCGGTTTGTAGACAGCTATTACCTTCTCTTTTTTTTTTTTTTTTTTGATGGAGTTTTGCTCTTTTTACCTAGGCTGGCGTGCAATGGCGCGATCTCGGCTCACCGCAACCTCCGCCTCCTGGGTTCAGGCAATTCTCCTGCCTCAGCCTCCTGAGTAACTGGGATTACAGGCACGTGCCACCATGCCCAGCTAATTTTTTGTATTTTTAGTAAAGACGGGGTTTCACCATGTTGACCAGGATGGTCTCGATCTCTTGACCTCGTGATCCACCCGCCTCGGCCCCCCAAAGTGCTGGGATTACAGGCTTGAGCCACCGCGCCTGGCCACCTTCTCTTTTGTCTTCAGACGACCTCTCCTCCCTGTGTGTGGAGGCAGAGAGCTCCGGCGTCTTCCTCTTCTTGTAGGGACCCCAGTCCCATTGGATTAAGCTCCTACTTATGCCCTCATTTAACCTTCATCGACTCCCTAAAGGAATTATCTCCAAACACAATCGCATGGGAGGTTAAGTCTTCAACATCTGAATTTGGAGACACAAATCAGACCATGACAGCCTGATCTTAGGGAAACCTAAAGGGAAATGAGGAAGTGAGACAAGGAAAAGGAGGAGGCCAGTGTGTCAACAAGCAAGTGGTCACCTTGGCCATCTGGAGGTCAGTCCCACAGGGAGCCTCTGGGAAACTGTGCAAACCACTCACCTCAGAGCCCTCCCACCCACGAGCATGGGAGCTGGATTATCACTTGCCAGTTCCTGTGGCTCGTGGACTGAGGGCAACTTCAACGTATCTGTGCGTGTGCTGGGGAGAGCGGTGTCAACTCCCAGGCCCTCGAGGAAGCGCAGCCTCCCCAGGCACCACAGATACCCTCAGGCCCAGCTCTGTGGGCCAGGTCCTTGTGGTTGGAAGGAGCACACTGCTATGGAGTTTTCACTTGCTGTTCAACATCAGATTCTGGCTGTCATGAAGTGGCTTATCCAGTGGAGCTAGACTTTGAGGAGTGAATATTGATGGGTCAGGCAGCTGAAGGCACTGCAGTAGGGGAGAGCGTGACAAAGGTCTGGATGGAGGAAGCTTGGTGTCCAGCCTGTAGCTACATAGGGAAGGGGAAGGATTGGAGACCAGGTGGGGGCCAGCAGAGCCCCACCGTGAAGATCAGATGGGAAGGGTGCCCCTTGGTAGGCTATGGAGAGGGTGCCCCATATATGTACCTAGCTGCTCAGAAACCCAAGCAGGCCTATCCCTAAGACATCCCAGAACGTTGTCTTCCCGGGACCCCCCTACTGCCCCCCTCCCCTCCTTTGACTGTCTCCACTTCAACTTCTGATACAGCAGGCACCCCCAAATCCGACAATGTCTCCTGTACCCAGGAGACACAGATATCCCCCCAGCAGAGAGAATTCAAGCTAGGCCCCCTGCCCAGGTCCGAGGGCAAAAACAAAGAGGCCAGGAGTCCCAGGGCGGCAGATGCTGCTCTCTCCCTCAGAGGCCAGACCACAGCCTAGATGTCAGGGGGGTCAGGGGCTGACCTTAGGAGTTGGGCCTGAATAGAGGACTGAGCCAAGGTAGGGGGATACCCTAAAACACCAAAAAGCAGCCACTTGGTGTTCAACCTCAGCCACCTGAATCCTGATTACGCTTCTCCTCCAGGGTCTTCTATCAGGTTAGGACAGTTACCTCTGTGCTGTCTGCAGAGTCTGCACAGGGAAAGCAGAGGGTCAAGGAACAGCTGGGCCCAGGAGTGTGGGCTTGGAGGGGCCACCTTCACACCCACTACCACCACTGTTTTGGCCTGAGGGAGATTGAGAAGTGGGAACTTAAGACAGGTCTGAGCAGGGTCCAACTGCTCTGGATAGCTATGGGTTTGGAGCCAAGCCATATCCAACTCTATATCCAAATAACAAGCACTTCTCCGTAGACAGAGGTGTGGTCCTGCCAGAACTTGATGGAGGGCCGGCACAGTGGGCACTTGGTTTCTTTGATAAGCCATGTCTCCCTCCCCCATTAATCCTGCTCTGGGCCAGGTGCAGTGGCTCATGCCTGTAATCCCAACACTTTGGGAGGCCAAGGCAGGAGGATTACTTGAACCCAGGAGCTCAAGACCTGCCTGGGCAACATAGGGAGACCTCCATCTCTACAAACAAAAAATAAAATAGCTGGGTGTGGAGGCACAAGCCTGTGGTTCCACTACTTGGGAGGCTGAGGGAGGAGGATCCCTTGAGCCCTGGGGGTTGAGGCTGCAGTGAGCTGTGATTGCACCACTGCACTCCAGCATGGGTGACAGAGTGAGACCTTG